TGGCACTGAAGAGTGCTCATCACGGTGCTATGTACCTTAAGTTATAGTTATTTTCCCAGATCAGTTTAATTTAAAGGCTGCATTTGGGAGAGGGGTGTAGGAAAGCTTATTCAAAATAGTTAACTTATGTGGTTCTATTTTACATGAGAATTCACCCCCAGGGATGAATATTTTTACATCTTAAAAAAGGCTGGAGTCTTGGCTCTGGATGTAAGAGCACTGGCTGCTCCTCCAGAGGACCCCAATTTGGTTCCCAGAACCCACATGGCAGCTCACAACTCATGTAATTCTATTTCTGGGAGAACCAATGCTCTCTTCTGGCCTCCAAGGGCACCACGCATGGATGTTGTACACAGACAAACCTACAAGGAAAATCCCATACACTAAACTAATACAGTATTTTTTTAAACAAAATAAATGCAGAAAGTTAAATGTAGAATGTAATGGAAAGTGAAGGAGTTAAAAGATAGTTTAATAGAAAAGTATTACTCTCCAAGGTGATGGTAGTACATTTGAAGTTATAATAGTTATGTATAGATGAAGTATTTTTAACTTTTTTAAAGTATGTTTTTTATTTTAGCATTGAATTGATATATATATATATATATATATATCATATATAATGAATATATATATATATGTGATATATATGGTAGATTTATATTTAAATAGAACCCTGTAGAGAGCTTGGAACTAATTGGGGTATTTAATTATATAGTGTTTATTTTCTTGCCATTTCCTTTAGAACTGTGGGATCAACCCATTTGCCCTGGAGTTGTTTGCACACTGGCAGTGTTTGCCTAGCACACTCTCTCAACAGACCAAGCTCCTAGTATTTTGTTCCTTTTGTGTGCTGTTTTTTCAGAAATGTGAACAAGGGGGAGATTTTACATGTACATAAATTTGTGCAGATTAATTATAATTTTCCTATTTTTATACTTATATTATCTCATTTCTTTCTGTATTTTTTCCTGATCCTATTTTCTGGGATCTTAATCCTCTTGTTTTTGCTCTCTTCTAGTTCAGTTAAATCTGTTACTTGACATCACTGTGAATTTTGTCTCACTGAAGCTTGTATGGAAGTATCCAGCCTCAGTTGGTCTTTTAATATTTAATTCTTGAAGTTCCCAAAATCTACATGAAAGAGAATCCCATGTTTTCTGTTTTTGTTTTGTTTTGTTTTCCACTACTCATGTTTTATTCTTCTGTGCTGAGTTTTACCCGGCTCATCACAGCTTTTCATCCCTTATCAATCCTTCCTCTTCCCCTGTGTGTTTCTTGATTTGTGTTACTCAAATGATAGATAGATGGGCCTGCACTTAGGGTGAAGGCAGAGGGGTCCCTGGGAATGGAAGGCCAGCCTGGTCTACACAGTCCCAAGTGGCCTTTCTTTAAAAAAACAAAACAAAACCAAAAACAAAAAAACACAGTTCTCTTTATTCTGTTTTAAAAGAATTTAATTATATGAATTAGTATTGACTCCACTGAGTTGCCTGAGCACCTAAAAGTAAACATCATTTTTACCTGCAAGGATCCCAACTAAAATTTAGAAAAGAATACTTTATGCAAGACTGGTATAATGTGATAGGTATTGCTATGTTTGTCATTGAGAACTTATCTCCTTTATGTAAAATTAGCTTTCTAGGCCTGGAGATACAGCTCATTGGTAGTAAAAAACATTCTCGCCTAGAATGTTTTGAGATGATGGGTTCAATTCCCAACAATACCAAAATAAATTAATAAAAACAAAGTTAATATAATCTTTTTACTTAAATATAAGAGAATATACACATATTTTTGCTCTCTATATCAGCTATAACAAAGATATGACTTGTCTCAAAATGTAAACTGATCCATGCCTATAATCCTAGCACTTGGGCAGCGGAGACATGAGGATCTTGGAAAGTTCTCAGTGTCATGTTACTCTGGTCTCTATCTACATGGTTCAGGTTAGTCTTGACCCCACATTCTCTTGCCTCAGTTTCCCAAGTGCTAGGATTATAAACATGGTTCAGTTTGCATTCCTTTCTTGGAGGGTATGTTCTGAAAGGCAACCCCAAAACATTTTCAGTTATCTTTTGTCTATTTTACAGTGCTAGGGAACACACCTCAGGTCTCGGGCTTGCTGGCAAGGTCTCGGCCATGCTAGCCACATGGCTAGCCCAATTTTTCATTATCTATATATGAAGAATAAACTAGATTTTTATTAATGAAATACTAGCTGTTGTTTTTGTTGTTGTTTTTACTATTTAAGTATCAACAAATACTCTGGCTCTGACATGCCTATTTTTATATGATACCTACCTATGAAAAAACAATTGGTTAACACTAAGATATCCCAATTCACACAGAATGACACATCAGGAATACTTCACATCTTCAGCTTTCAGGTGGGTTTATCTTAATAGATTCTTCATGGGCTTGTCCCTATGGAGAGTGAATATGACATGTAAACCTTACTTCATCATCCATTTCACTAGTTATATATTCCAGACTAGAACCTGAACTAGGTCATGCTGTTGTGTATTTCATGCCTCAAAATAAATTAATTTGTTGAATGATTTGACACTTAATAATCTCTTAATGCTCAAATTTCTCTTGCTCTCTTACTTGAAATTATGATAATTTCAGTTTCCTATAGTGTAAAGTTCACTTGAATAATATTTGAGAATCAAAGGGAAAATGCAAGTTAATGTCTTTGTAGTGTTAGCTTCCTCGCTAGCATGCACAGCAAATAATAGTCTTCATTAAGGAGGGTAACCGTAAAGCAGGATTGCTGGTATATGAATGCATGTGTACACACACACACACACACACACACAGTTCTGTAGTTGGGAGGGTGAGACATCAGAAGACCGTGTCAGAGAGAGGGAGATGGCAGGAGGGAGACAACATTTAAAAGAAGGTCTGGGTTGAGGAAAGTGTTAAAGTTGTCAGTGACTACATTAATCCTAAAATCTTTCCAAAATAAACAGTTGTCTCGAAAAAGCTATTTTATATTGTTACAGTGGAAAATGGCATTAACATGTACCCATTCTAACTAAACCCTACCTCAGAACATCTTCAGAAACCCACTCACATTTTTATATTCCAGCTAATATGTTAAGGGTCCTTTTAATGCTAGGGATTCTAAAGTTTTCAAATGAGGGCTGGAGGTGCTGGCATACAGCTGTAAACTCAGCTCTCTTGAAGCTAAGACGTGATACTATCACAGACTGCATGGTGAGTTCCAAGCCTGTCTCAGAGGGAAAACGTCCATTTGCATCACATTAGCAGATGTAGTATGAATGGGAGAAACTGCAGTGTATTGTTTGATATGGTAATGCTTTTTCTTCAGTAGTATTAAGAACAAGACTAGGAAAAGCTGTATTTTTAAATCATAAATGAAAAGATTTTCATTTTTAGATGCTTATAGAAATTCCTGAGTTACCTGAGTCTCCTTTTGCCCATGCCAATATACCAAAAGATTTTTTTCACTAGTTATCAAATCTCGACATCAGAGAAGGTTGGCACCAATCATTTTCTAAGCCAAACAAAATTTTATCATTCTTTTATTACCTTTTTTTTTTTCACCCCTTCCCAGTTCCAGTTGGTTTTTAATGATCTTTTGACCTCAGAAACAGTCACTCTTAGTTTTTGTAAAACTCAGACTTTGGAAAGTAGGATGTCATTACGACTTTCTGTAATTTATCTTCAGTTTTAGGTTAAAAATTCTATTTGGTTCTATTTAAACTCCTAGTAAAACAGTTACTGCAAATTTCTAATGGCAATTTTTAAAAGAAAATCATTCAATTTATTATAATCCTTTTTATAATTTAATATTAAATTATCAAGCATTTTTATTCTGTTGTTGTACCCTTAACTTTTTTACTGTACATTTGATAATACTGTCAAAGTTTTGGTACAGGGAATGAAGAAATAACTCAACAGCCCTTGCTGCTCTTCAGAGTGTCTGAGGCCTCTGGTCTCCATGGGCATCTGCACATATGTACAGACACACATAATTAAAAATAATAAAAGTCTTTGTTTTGTTAATAGCTAGCAGTGACATTAATTGAATAAAACTAAAAGTTACGCAAGATTGGGCCAGGGGGTACAGGCACTTTCTGCTAAACCTGCAGACCTGAATTCATTTCCCAGGACCCAGATGGCAAAGAGAGAACCGACCTCCGCCAGTTGTTCCTGCATGCACACACAAAATAAATACATGTAAAAAATGGTTTGAATTTTAATTTAAAAATTACACAGGTTAGGCTAAATTGAGACTCTGACATGAGGACTAATTGAGATGTTGTCAGCGTATGGCTTCAGAAAGTACAAAGAGCATACCAGGTGTGGTTGGTGGTTCTGTTTTAACTGGACGGTAGAGTACATGACTAAGGTATGTTCTGTGCTATCAGTTTTTAGTGTCAGAATATATGTAATACCAGTGTAGGCCACAAGGTGGGAGTGAAAGGCAAGGACTTGTAGCCAAACAACCCAAATATATGATGCATTATCTTTATAACCTTTTAAATGCTTAGTAAATAAATAGAAGCTGTAGCTTGATTACTTCCTCAGTTATGGCTGCATTTCTCATTTTTAAAAAACTGTAATAAGAGACAAAAGGGCATTGATTTTATATATATAGGCCATTATTAGTGAATATCAAAGGACAAAATATCAGAAATTTTTTCCCCTAAATTTCTGGGTATAGAGGTGCTTGGTAATCAGAGTAGCAATTTTTATTAACTGAATATGAAAAAAAATGTTAATTGCCATTAACAGGGATAGTAGCCGAGAAATTACAAAAAATACTTTATATTTGCTATCTTCATTTTCCTTGATCTCATTTAAAGAAAAAGTCTTGTCATATTTTCTGTGTGTACATAAAACCTCTTGTACTTGTGTGAGAGAGATAGCACATATGCACAATGGGACTAGTCTTAAATAGGTGCATGTTGTGTTTGTTCATTTGAGTTTGGAAGTGTGCAAAGTGTGACCATTTCTTTCATCTTAAGGGGAGAAGACAAGAAGTTTCTTCTGGAAGAAAAACCTCAAAGGATCTCAGCGTTCCTTTACATCATGAAAGGTGGTTCTACATCCCTCTTTGCCAACTCGAGTTTGTAAATATTAAAATATGTATTTGCATATTTAAATTTTTTAACCATTATAAAAGAAAAATAGTTGATTCTTAACTAGTAGAGTGGACCCGCATATGAAAATGAACTAACAACCACAAATAGTTAAAAACAGAATTAAATCTAAAAAGCTGAATTCTCTAACAGTCTTCTATTCAGCAAGCCTTATTGTGGCTATATTGTTTGACATGGGTGAACCCTGATATGAACCAGAGTGAAAAATAATTAATACTCTCTGGTGTTTACAGAAAACATCAGTGTTTCATATGAATAAGTAGATACATTAACCTGAAGTGCACTTTTGAACTGTAACTGTTATCACTTGCTTTATGCTTAGTTTTTTAAATATTAGAATTGTTTGCAGGATATTTTCTACAAGTTTAAATTTTATTTTTAATGTTTAACTTTTTGATAATTCTATGGTTTGTAAAAACTATGCTGTGTATATTTAATTATAATTAAAACATTTGAAGTTATGACTTTACATTTTAAAATATTGATTTGCTTTATAGGGATAATATAGAGAAGACTTTCTGGGACCTTAAAGAAGAATTTCATAGGATATGCTTGCTAGCAAAAGCACAAAAAGACCATTTAAACAAACTTAATATACCAAATATTGTGACTGGTAAGACTGAATTTGTCTTGTAGTAATTTTAATTGTGCTGGTTGAAATTGCCTTAACTTTCAATGAGAAAATACTTCCAAATGCTTATGAAAGGCTAAGAATCTGCACCTTGCCCCTTATATTTGAATAAATGTATGGTGTTAACTTCTATAATGTACATTATAAGATTCTTATCTTGTCTTATTGTCTTCATTGTATATGGTGCTGTATATATGTAATTGAATAGCCTAATTAGCAATTAGCATAATGAGAAGTACCATCTTGAAAAATATAGGATTCATGTCTATATGTTTATTTGGGGGGGTCATATTGAACATTAATTCACATGTCAGTAAGTGATCTTAAAGCAACACTACCATATATGAGGTAACTAAAATTATAATATTATATTAGTTTTTAACTAAATTTTATCTGACATATCACTAAACACTTATAGTTTATTATAATCTAGCTTAAGAATGAAAATGTGGAATGCATATTTCCTTAGAACCAGCTCTTGGCAGCACAAAATAAAAATTGGGTATAAAATACCACTTAGGGGCATCTGTTTTGCACACATGTTGGGTTTTTGTTTTTATTGAGGTAGGGTCTTAACCTGCAGTCTGAGACATGGAACTCAGCATGTCAACTAGGCTGGCCTTAAACGTGCGCAATCTACCTGCCAGTCCCCAAATGTTGGCATTATAGGCCTGAGCCCCAGGCTTATTGCAGTGTTTGGTTTTTTTTTTTCTTTTTTGTTTTGTTTGCTTGTTTGTCTATTTGTTTTTTTAAGCTCTAGACTTGCATATAAGTAGCTACTTCAGTAGTTAAATATTACCAACAAAATAACAGAAATTGAGTCTAGCATCCAAATACTTCAGTAAACAAAAGGAAAGTAAAATGATCATTCAGAATGATATATTCTCTTTTTACCCTTGTGGCTTGGGATATTCAATAGGTAGTTCCTAAGCAATATGATTTACAGTTTTCACTCTGAGAGACATTGCAACAGTGATGACTAGCATGTCCTTAACTGAAGATCCTGTTTTTCTGTGGCTTCATTCACATCATAGCATCTTACAACACTGCTAGTGTCAATTCTCGTTGCCACTACTAGCGTTTATTTCCAGAAGAGCTGTGCATTGTGTTGAGAGGAAAGGAAAACAACCTTTGCAAGTAGATAGAATTTGTGTTTCTTTTCTTGCTATCTATCTTCCCTCCTTCTCAAAAAAAAAAAATTCTCCACCTTAATTTTTTTAATGTTTATGAGAAACTGATCTTTTATACAGGCTAAAGATACTAGAAATCAGCAGTTTCACTTAAAATAGGCTAGCTGTATCTAGAATTCATAAGCATGTTATTTGAACATCAGCATCTTATCAAAACACTGCAATAGCGATATACTCTGTTACACAGAGAACATAACCCATTATCAATTATTTAATACTTTGACCATTTTTAAATTGCTTAAGTCTAACTCTTAGTATGTATCTGTCAACCTGAACACTGAGTGTTTAACTTCAATTTCTTCTCCACTAAAGCTGTTTCCTAAGATTATTCCTGTGCTTTATAATAACTGTGTCACAAATAATAAGTAAAAAACTACTCTTGAAATGTTTTAGATGTATCTGTATTAAATCAAGTAAAGCTTTGCTTGGTCCAAACAAAACACAAAATGTTAAATATTATGCCCTGACAGTATAGCTCTATACTATCTCCTACTGTGATTTGGGGAGAAGAATGAAGACACAGTCTAGAAGCAGTCACCTGCCCAGGGTTTCCAGATGCACGTGTCATTACCATGTCTCTTCTAGCCATTCACTTAGGGCAATAAGCTTGAAAAAGGATAAGGGTGGAACTGTATGCTTAAGCAAGCATCTTCTCAGGGGAGGGTAATTCGTCTAAAAGCAGGGTTCTAATTCATTGTCTATTAGACTAGAAGAATGTAGAAGTACAGTAGACAATCATCAACTCTTTTGTCAATATTCATGATAATTTGCAAAAATAGTCTAAAGAGCCTATATGTAAACTTGGAAAAAAAATTTTATTGTACCTGTTTTCCTTGCAAAACTAAGTGCTACTGCTACAGAAACAGATTACAAAAGCTGCATACTCAGTGGCTCTTGGTGCGGTATCTGGTAACAAGTGTTTCTGTGGACTTTGTTTCATTTTATCTAAGCTCAGACTTCTGATAGTCATAGGATTAACGTGGCTAAGCTTGTATGGGAGCCAGCTCTTACAAAAGAAAGTACCTGCCTACTCATTACAGCTGTTTTATGTCTCTCTGCTGTCTTTGAAGGGGGCTTAGGTCAACTGGTAAGAAAGTCATTCCAAGCATAGGTCTGTCACCTTGAGGGATCCTCTCCGTGTGGAAACCAACATGTTCAGCTAGTGGTTCTGAGACACTGGAATGGACTGCCTGGGTTCTAGTGCCAGATTTAGCACTCACTAACTGCACAACCTTGGAAGTAGCCACGGAATTAACCTCTCTATATCCATTCCTTCACATGTAAATTAGGGATAATAATAGTGCCTGAGTTGGCGTTATTCTCAGGACAAAGTGAATTAATGTGCGTACCACAGTTAGTGCATGGCACATGGAAGTGCTATCAGTGTTAATAGCTGTTGCCATTAGCAGCAGCTGCAGATTCTAAAGCATTTACCCTGTTGTACTGAAAATCATTTGAGAAGGTATTCCTTCTCAGGTATTAAAAGAATCTTATTCCTGTTCCTAGCATTTCCCACCACCCTCAAGTCTGCTGCCAAGAAAAATGACTACTTGAGAGTGAATGGACTTTTATCTACCTCAAAGGTCAAAGAAATCCAGCAAAACAATTGAGTTTGGTCTCAATTACTATATTTTTCCTAGTCACAGACAGAATATCTGGCAAATGTAGGTTATAATCTTAGACCCTGTGAGGAGAAGATACAGTATCATATGTGTGCCAGGCAGTAGGTGGGACATCTGGGTAAACAGGGAGCAGAACATGGTTTTAGATTTCATAGAAACCTGCTTTAATAGGGGAAGGGGAGTCTACTTGCAAATATAAGAGTTCAGTCCTCATCATGGGAGAGTCGTGCATGGTGATGCTCATAAGCACAGCACTAAGAAGCTGGCGCTGGAGGACTGAGAGTTTGGAGTCAACCTGGGTGCTGTGATGAGGCAGTCTGAGAGAGTATGTAGGTTTGTATGTAATGTTACAGAATGAACTGAAGAGGTTGGGGGCATGGTACTACACATCATATTCAAACAGAAAGTGTTTTGTGTTGGAATGTGCTATGACAACATATAAGTGCCATAAGGCCCCAGAGATCAAAGGAATATAAAGAAACTGCCGTTTGTTGAGTGCCTGCTTACAAAGACAGACTGTGGATGGGCCTGTGTGTACCCTGTGTCTTACGCCTGCTTTCTTGGTAAAGTCTTTGTTTGTAAGTGTGACTTCACTAATGACTGTTTCTCCACTGAATAAAATATATTACTGCACACCTAGTATTGCACACCTGTAATTCCAGCCTGTGGGTGCTGGAGTCTGGAGGATCTGGAGTTCAACGCTAACCTTACCTACACGGTAAGTTCTAGGCCATTCTGAGCGTTGGGAGACCCCTATCTGAAAGACAAAAACAAACAACCAAATACACCACAAAGCACATGGGCTTCTTGAAGTGACATTTGTGAAGCCTCATTTTGTGTGTTCCAATATCTAAGATCATAAACATGAGCAGTGCTTTGATAATTGTTGGGTGTGGTTTGGTTTCGTTTGGTATTATGAAATACAGCTTTTGCTGGCCCTTTATTACACTGGCCTTTTGTTGGCTTGTTTCTAAGTTTTAATTTTAGTTATGTGTATGTGGGTATGTGTATGAATGTGGATGCCCATCAAAGCCGGAGATGCAGGATCCCCTGGAGCTGGAGTCATAGGTGTTTTGAGCCACGCTGTGTGAGTTCTGGGAACTGAACTTCAGTCCTGTGGAAGGGCATACATACTCTTACTACGGACCATCTTCCCAGCATAACACTGTGGTGTTTTCTGAATTCATAAGTCTGCATTTTTGTTTTGCTTGCCTCCTTCTATACACCTGGCATTTGCCAATTTCTTGTCTTTCGTTAACAGCTTATATCTCCATTTAATTTGCTGTGGTCCCTGTAGCTGCAACTCTGCTTCCGCAGAAGTCCCCCTTGCCAGCATCTGGCTGCAGCCTACAGATCATGTTGGAGAAATAGCTTCTACATGAATGCACTAAAGAAGCTCTGGTGCCCATCTCACATCTGCTTCTTAGTTAAAGATGAGAAAATAGCATATACACATAGTTTTCTTTCTTTATTTACTTTTTTTTGAGGGGAGGGGAGACAGAGTCTTTCCATTTAGCCATGGCTGTCCTTGATGTTGTTATGTTGACCAGGCTGGCCTGCAGTTCACAGAGATTTGCCTGCCTCTGCCTCCTATGTGTTGGGACAAAAGGTGTGCACCACCACATTGAGCCATATTCACATTTAATTCCTCCATTTGCATCTCAGAATGTCAACCTCCTTTGCCTCTGCTATCTTCTTTTATCCTGACCCTGATACCACTGCTCCTTCTCATGCACTCTTTTGAGTGTAGACAGTAACTGAAGTGATTAGAGGTATACATAGTAACACACTGGTATTAGGGGAAGTGAATTAACTGATTCATGTAGTAAATAATAAATGCCTAATTACATATATATATAATTCTCCTTTTAAGTAAGGGTACAGTTTTGGCTTTTGTTACAAAGTAATTAAATATATATCCTACAAGCGTTTTTTAAGTGTAAATCAATATACTTACGAACAAGATGCAAAGCTTACAGAGGAAGACGTAGGAGAAGACGAAGCAATTAAGTCGCAGCCTGTACACTGTGTTCAGTTTACCTGCAGGGGACTGCTGTTATCCTCACAGAGGATGGTAGCAAGCGGAAAACATTGTCTTCAGCTGCTATAAAAACCCATAGTCCTCTGCCTAATGCTGGTTCGACAGTTTTTTTTTTTTCAGTGACTTGAATGTGACTATTTCCCTTTTGTATCTTTTTCCTGCAGACACGCAGTGCTCTGTGCCTGTACAGTGTACTGATAAAACCGATAAACAAGAAGCGCTGTTTAAGCCCCAGGCTAAAGATGATATAAATAGAGGTACGCTGTGCATCACATCTGTTACACCAAGAGGACTGGGCCAAGATGAGGAAGATACTTCTTTTGAATCGCTTTCTAAATTCAATGTCAAGTTCCCACCTATGGACAATGACTCTACTTTTCTACATAGCACTCCAGAGACGCCAAACATCCTTACTCCTGCCACACCTGAGGCAGTGTGTGAGGACAAATTTAATATGGAAGTCAGAGATAACCCAGGAAACTTTGTTAAAACAGAAGAAACTTTATTTGAAATTCAGAGAATTGACCCCATAACTTCAGCTATACAAAACCTTAAAACAACTGACAAAACAAAACCCTCAAATCTTAGAGCTCCGTGTTTGCCAGCTGGAGACCATAATGTGTTCTATGTAAATACATTCCCACTTCAAGACCCGCCTGATGCACCTTTTCCCTCACTGGATTCCCCAGGAAAAGCTGTCCGAGGACCACAGCAGGTAACTGTTTTGCATTAACAAATATTTTATTATGTGTGAACACACATTTTGTCATACATGCACAAATACGAATCTCTTTGAAGTTCTCAGACAACGATTTTAAATTAATGACTATCCAGAATTGAGGCTTTCAGTAAAATATGTAAGTTCTCTATTAAAGGACATGAATTTTAAATACGAATCTGATAAAGCTCAATCATGGTATTTATGGCATGGCTTTACTTGCATAGTCCTCTTCAATCACAGTGTGTTTACTTCAGTGTTCTAGTGGATGCTGTATTAAATTCAGTAATGTGAACAAATACTTAAAAAACTTGTGCATGTGCACATAATAATGTGTAATTTTCCACAGTAGATAATTGAAGCAAATATTCAGAATAAACTGTCATTCAACTTACTTCTGTTACAGTCGCAGTTTCAGCAGCACACAGGTCTGTAGGGTTCAGTTTGTTTTCTAACCTGATACTAAGCAGACGTCCTTATATGTTTTTCAGATAATCTCTGCATATGAATGATTTAATCAATGTCTTCTTTACTATTTGGAAAGCAGAAAGACTTCATAGCCCAGGAGTTTAATCCTACCACCCTGTCTTTCAGATTCAGGTTCTTTCACAGAAAGATTCTTTTTGTTAGGGATAAAAAAAAAAAAAAAAAGTTTTGTTTAATTCCTAAAGGCAAATGAAAAGTATGTAAATGTTAAAATAAGTAGAAGATTACGAAAAAAAATTTCTCATTAGAACTTTCAAACATTTGATTTTCTTTCAGATTAAAAAAAAAAAACTTAAAACCTTTAGCTTTAAGTATTTTTAGCAGTTACAGGCTATTAAACAGTGTGTAAGGAGGCAGTAGCTGCAGTATGTTTTAGTAGTGAGTAAAACTAGGGATTCGGACAGGTCTTAATTATTAAGTTCCTGTGTTCTACCACGTACCTTATTTCACATTACCGTCTCAGCTATGGTTGCTACCAAATGAAACAATTAAACAATTTCACTTATGGCGAGTGGAATTCCTGCGGAGCTGTGAACTGCATCAGTTCTAATGCTTGTTACTCTCCTCCATTATATCTCTTGCTTGTTCTTTTACTAGTCCGTCTGTGCGCTCATGTTTCAGTAGATGGCACCCTGCATTGTACATTTACTTTATAGTGCAGCAAGGGAAACAGCTGGTATGTGATTACAGCTTGATGGAAAAGTATTCAGCTTTAAAAATGCAAGAGAATTGGTGTTGAGCTGTCACAAGACATGGGGCATAAGGTTAGATAATTGATATTTTGGCAGAAAAAGCAAAGAAATTGGTTTGATTTAAAGGCCATGTTACATTTCTAGGTTTCAAAAATATTTATTTAAATGGGTCTTTTTAAGCATTACTTTCCTGTAATGGAGAAAGCTCATAAATACAATTCTTGAGTTGCCCACAGACAGGAAGAGGGGAAATTTAGGTTACATATTTTGCTTTTACTTTATATTAATCATTACTACCGAATATGTATTTTTCGCTTCTGTTTTTCATAGCAAAGACTAAAATATATATCAGCTTATTTTTCTTCAGTGTGATTATTTTCTTTTTTTACTTTTGCTGAGTCAGTAATTGGGGTTTTAAATAAATTCCAAGAACAAGCTGCACCAGAAGCTACTAATGTCAGATTTCAAAAGTAAACTGTCAGTGGAAGACTGGCTTAACAAATTTAGGAACTGACTCACTTTTTTAAGTTAATTTCTTGCTGTTTTATAAATCTTAATACAAATATCTTTAAGGTAATAATTGCTATTGCTAGACATGACAGATTTGCATTAAAGTATAACACTTGAAATTAGTTAACTTTTAATTAACCTCCACTTATGTACTTACAATTATTACTGTTTTTCATCAGCAAAATTTTTCAACAAACAATTACTTTGCCCCAAATTTTATGACATTTATTTTAAATACTGTTAGTTTTGTGGCAACAGGCACTTGTCATGAAAACAAATGGAGTCCGCATTCTCTGGTGTTTGTACTAACACTTGAATGTGTCATGCTACCCAAACAAAGTGGATATATTAATATTATGCTGTATATAGCCATCCTACAGTGCCCACTGTTAGTGATGGCTTGAAAGCCACGTACTGTGATTAGCAGTACTGTGTTTATATAAATACCAGCTAACTAGAATGAAGTTAAAGGCATAAAAACTGTCAGGTGCTGAACTGAGCTGTGTTCCATTACAAACTTAATAGTAATTGGCGCACAAAGAGCCTCTTTAAATGTTTTTCTCTGAAGTGACTATGTCTCTGTCAGAGGAATTTATCTGTCAAGGTAAGAATGTGTTTTTAACAATCTGACGGACGTGGTTCAGGGAAAGCTATTTTTGTCAATATCATTTCTATTAAAGACTATTACACTAATTCATATATATATTATTCTAGGCTTATTAAAAACATATCTACAAGTTTTTATTTCCCAGTAATTACAACGGAGATGGTGCTATAAAATTACAATTTCCCATAGTTCTTTAATTGGGCAATTATTGACAGGTTTCATTTTATTTGTTGGCAAGAAAGAGTAAGGCCAAACTATAAAACAGAAGTAAAAAAAAAAAAAAAAAGTCAAAGGAATGTGTCTCAGGTTAGGTTTTATTGAGTTATTTAATTAATATCTGTACTTTTTAGTTTAAAAGAAACTGTTTTTTTGACAAATCAGAATGCCGATTATATGTGATTTGTTTATTTTTATTTTGAATTGCCTTCAGTAAAACTGCTTGCACATGTACTATGAAAGACTATATAATTTACAGTTCCTATTATAAAGTAAATACAGAACTTAATAAAGTCTCAAGTATTGGTCCTTGTTTCAGAACTATTGCCATTGAAATAACTGACTATTAATGAGTGCTGCTGTTAGGGCGCAGTAATTTTAAATGTGTAAAGATAAAATCCAGGAGTGCGGTTAAGTTGTCCCGCTCTGGAAAAGAAATCTGCTTTCACGTTACAGAATTTCAGATAGAAATGTCATTCAAATATTTGGATTTGAAATTTAGTGCAAAATGCTGTTAAGCATAATAAGATGTTTTTACTTGTTTCTTGCAGCCCTTTTGGAAGCCTTTTCTTAACCAGGACACTGACTTATGCGGTTCAGACTCAGAACTCCTTAAGCCTCAAGTGTGTGAATTCTGTCAAGAGCTCTTCCCACCATCCATTACATCCAGAGAGGATTTCCTTCGGCATCTTAATACACACTTCAATGGGGAGACTTGAGGCATATTTGAAAACAAAACACATCACATTCTCTGTGATGTGATTTTGTATTTTTAATGCTAAAGAACACTTGCTTGTAAGCTAAATTTAAGATTGTTTATAAAAGAAATTCAGTGTCACAGCTACTTGAATTTTTCTCTAAACTTGTTACTTTTATTTTTTAATAATTTTGTATAAAACTGTAATTCATTATATTCCTGTTTATAATATATTGCCATGCCTCAAAATTATGCATGTGACTTACAGAGTTATATAATCATAATTTATGTTTTAAATACCTAAGCTCATTGTTTGACTCTCATGAGATCTATTAAATTTGGTGATTTCAAACGTTTATAGGGTACTGTGTATAGGATTTCATTTGAATTTTTAATTATTTATGCTGGAAGTAATATTTCTTTAAAATACATATGTACCTTACAGATAATAGCAGACAATATAATCTAAGTAAATATCGAATCAGATATTAGTTACCCAGTGAAAATTATTTAAACGTTTTAAATCATTTTTTAAAATAACACACATGGTTTTAAATTTTACTATGTGTATAGATGCATGCTTAAATGAGTTAAATATTAAAAGTTACTTATGGTGTGATTATTAAAAGTGTTCCTTGTTTCTGAGACAAATAGATCACATTGGGGAACATTCCTAACATTCATGTCTGACATTTATTGCACATTAATAGGTCACTGTACATTTTTAAATGATCTTTCAAACTAAGCAATCTAATTTTTTTCCCTTTTATTAGAAACAAATTAAAAAGCCTGTAAGGTGAATCCATATTTATTAATTTAGATTACAAATGTTCAAATTCTTGTTGAGAAATTTGCTATTCATTGTTAGCAGCCTGATTGACGGCCACTGGAGATGGCGGAGAGAGGTCCCAAGTGTGCAGTGCTGCAGAGCTGTCTAAAACGAGACTTCCCTTCCCTTCTGCACCATTCTTGCCCTTTGGGCTTCTCTTCCCACCTCCCTCCACCCCCAGTTTTTAAAAATGGTTGACACATGGCTTCCATTTTATGAAGTAAGCATTGACTTGTAGCTTTCAACAGAAATATAACTGTCCTTGAGCAATGTCTCATACTGGAGCGTTAGCATGGGGAAATTTGAGTAGGCCTCTGTGCCCAGTGGAAGGATGAGAGTGGTACCTCGACTTCTCAAGGTGCCAAGCACATCACATTGACATCTTCCTCACCAAGGTGACATAGTGATTATTAGGCATGCACTGTGAGGGGGTCTGAGGCAAGTGTACTCTGCCATTGCCACTAGGCTGAATGGAAATGCCTAGACAGTTATCCAAAGGCTCCTTCCTTCTGCCTGGTGCCCCTCAGTACACACACACAACTCAAAACTGCCCAGTAAGTAGCAGTCAGGATACCCCCCACTACCTATCGAAAGGATTTTTTTCCTCCTCTCACACCATCTTTACTGGCTTGCTGACAGACAACCAAAAAGAACTCTGTATCCCAGAAAGTGACTCAGCGTGACCCACTATTCCTTTCTCGAGCCATCATGTCCTCGCCACTTTTAGTAAGGTGGGAATTTTAGATTCCAGCAGTACCCAGAGCTCCAAATTCCTAGGGCAGAGACCACATTGGGCCACCAGAGAGGGGCTGCAGAGGAGCCGCAGCTCGGAAGGTGGAGTGGACACCGTCCAGGGCCGTCCCTCTGTCTTATTACTGAGCCATGCCAGGGCTGCCTCTGGGCTTCCGCTAAGCTGGCCGGGTAAGAACAGCTCCCAGGTAAGAAAGCTACATGCGCAAAACGCTGAGTCTGAAAAAAACCACCCCTGCCGAGGCGAGGCAGTTGTGAGCGGGATGCCTGAGAAGTGGGAGGTGAATGTCCTCGGGATGCCCCCCCACCCCCCCCCCCCCCCGGAGCAGCTTTCCCCGGAGGCTGAGGCTGCTGCCAGCGGGGACATCTGCTTTCTTACACTCCAGCCTGGCTCACCCCGCCCCCTCAGCCTCGGGTTGCGTGGTTATTTTACCAACACCGGGGGAGGGAGAGCTTGAGGAGGTAGAAAAGGGACGGATGGAAGCTTAAAAGATTTTCTTCCCACTCCCCCCGAGTCCCCTCCTTTCTTCTTCACATCTTTTAACCTTCAAGGTAAAGACTTCATAAATATGAAACAATAAGGGAGTCTGCTGGCGCGCAGGCCCGCCGTGGGCTGGCGAGGCTGCCGGGTGCCAGGCCTCGCTCTTCGCCTCCATCCTCCGGAGTCGAGCCGCGCTCGGCGGATTCGGCTGGGCGCAGGGGCCGGCGGTGAGCGCTCATCCCGTGGCGCCTTCGCTCCCGGCTGCTGCCTCGACAGCTGCTTGTAGCTACAGTAATTAGACTGTCAGTGCTTGTTAGAGGAAAGAGGGGAAAACACGCTTCTGACAGCAGATTCCGAGACTCCCCAGTTTGTTAATTTCTAAGAGATCTTTAAAGCATTAATTGAGGTCTCCCCAACTCTTCCCTCCCGCCCCTCTCCCCAACTCCTCCCGTCCCAAAAATATCTTTAGGAGAAAATTCTCTCCGCGTGGAAGCAGTGTTTCCCGCAAAACTGCCAGCCCGCCCCCTGCTCACGCGCGCGCACACACACACACACACACCGTAGTTTACATATGCATATATAGGCACACACGTATACGCAAGGTTAACTCGGTGGAGCACTCGTCCAAATAGGCACCGAAATTGCATTTAAAATGATAATAATAAATAAATAAATCAACTAGGAAGGAAGGGGGGAGGGAAGCAGAAGTCGGGAAGAAAAGAGAAAAGCAGCAGGCTGATTACGAGGTGTCAAAACTGCCAGGAGCAAGAAGGTGATAGCAATCAGGGGTGAGAAGAGTGCGGCATTCGTGCGGGGCAACTAATTATCCGTCTCATTTGAGAAGAGCAGCATTTGAGGCAGCAGCGTTCGCCTGCTGAACGGTGACAGATTGGCGCGGAGGAGAGGGGAGGTGTTAAAACAATGGAGCCGGGCGCGCGAGCGCTGCTGCATGCTAATCAGCCCTCCCTCCGCCTGCCTGCCGCGCTCCCTCCTTCCTCCCGCTCCCTCCTCCGCGCGCCGTCCTCCCGCCTGCGGCGCTCCCTCCTTTCCAGCGGGCCCGCCGCCGCCCGCTTCCCGCTCCCTGGCTTTCCCGCGCGTCCTCCCCGCCGCTGGCGAGCCGCACCCGGGTTGGCCGGCCGAGCGAGCGAGCGAGCGAGCGAGCGCAGCCCGCCTGGGGCGCCCGGGAACCACGTTCCCCGCACACGCCTGCGGTGCCTGCCTGCGGGAGAGCGGGCGCGCTGGGCGGCGACGGGGTCCGAGCAGCCCCGGGGACCCAGGGACACCCCCGGGTGGGAGAAAGAGCCAGAAGGGCAAAGCTGGACCCAGGCTGGCCCGGGTTCCTCGTGCTCGGCCTCCACCCCACAGCCTTCCAGCCTTAATGCAAGCTGCCGCGCCGCGCTCGCCCGAGCTGTCGGGGATGTCAAGCCCCCCCCCCCCCCCCCCCCCGCAATAACCCGCGTCTCCCCTCTCCAAAGGGGAGACCCTGCTGGCTGTGACCCTCGCACCCCGGCTCCCCGGCCTGCGCGCTTTAATAAGCCGGAGAAGGCCATACAATTAGTTGTACTCCCAAACCCTGACCTGCTGACCCAAAGACTAGGCTAACGGGCCTCCTGTGCCATATGCCCCTGAGAATATCACCTAAGACGGTGGCGGGTGCGATGCACGCCTTTACAAAGCAGGCAACCCTCCCCCAATCCGGGGCACCCGGTGATGGAGGCCTGAGCATGACCGGTGCGCTGCGGCCCTCCTTGGTCGGTTGGCTCAGTATTCTGGCCTGTGACTAGCTGGGCATAAACAGCAACACTAAAGATTCCGCCGTAAACCGAGTCTGGTCTGAAAAGTCTTCCGTACCTGTTGTGGATCGCTGGGCAGCCAGTGGCGGTTTCGCATCGTTTCCCCCTTTTGACCCGCAGAATTGATGGTTGAACACGGAAACACTCCGCAGTACCGTTTCCTCAGCTATTCTTAGGATTAGGCTAAAGTGTCTCAGCCGGAACCCCCGGAACTCAGAAACAAAGAGCTGAATTCTCCTAAGGCGCCGAGCTATTAGTTAACCAGGTGTTTAAATTAACATGATAAAACTTTAGATAACCTCCACAGTATAATTTTCTTTCTACCGACTTTTACTTTGGTACACATTGACACAAACAATTGTGCGGAGGCTTATTGCGTACACAAGGCTTTCGTTTCTATCATTGCCTTTCCCCTAAAGTTGAAATGTCTCCTGTAAAAGTGCATAAAAATAAAATCAAGTGGCTTGAGTGAATCTGAGTGTCTTTAGATTCTCATTCCAGTCATATGGAAAGGTACACAGTGCTCTCTATGTAAGTCGTTGCCCCGTTTAGAATACGCCCAAGACATACCAATGAAGCAATGGTGCACAGTTATTAGGATCTACTTACTAAAATGCTAAGAAGCTTTAAAATTGAAAATTCCTGACAAGACTTAAAGTATTGTGTGCCAGTAAGCAGAAGTACTTTTGGTTTCTCCCCTGGAAAACCGCTGAACAGACCTCTGCCCTTAGTCCATCACAGCCTTTTCAGTGCTATACTGTTAGCCTGCATTTGCAAAAAAAAAAAAAAAAAAAAAAAAAAAAAAAAAAAAAAAAAAAAAAAATCCCTAAGTCTGTTAAAATTGGAATCCATCTAACAGCAAGGGGAGGGGGAATTGCATCCATTAATGTAGACCTGTGTTCAGCAATTCCATCGATATCGAAAATTATTATTTATTAACCCTTTTCTTCATTAACTAGTTCTATAGAAGCGTTGCATTTAAAAGTGTGAATTTCCGGAGTTTGATTCCATGTTGCCTTACGCATATAAAATAGCTAACAAAAATTATTTACCTTTCATCGGCTTGGTTTTTATGGGCCTAGGATAATTTCTTCTCAACCCATAGACCTCACAAATTTGCATGGCTGTTTGAATGGTGTCTTTACAGATAAGTTTTTATTTGCACATAAGGACAAAAAGGTGAAGTGAAATTTGGTCCCAGTGGAAACCTGATAGCTTCCCTGAACATATGGCTCATTGGGCTGTTATTTCCTCTTTGAGATCATTTTCCAAGATTTTTTTTTAATATATACATCAATTTGACACCAGTTATAAAGAAAATATATTGGTTTTGAAGATGCTTCCACCTGGGACATATCTCTTAATAACAAACCATGTAGTCAGGTGTACCTCTGAATTTACAGGTCTTGGCGAGGAAGGCATACTCTGAAACCAGTTATCACTGACAGCTGATTTACAGTCTTCAGAATGAGTTAGTTTTGTAGGTTCTTAGAAAGCCACAACCAGGATAATTAACACAGGGGTGAGTGCAGAAAGCTGTTTTTGGAAGGCCCTGCACTTGGGGTACAGTGTCACAAAGACCTCTCTCTCGGTAGATACAAATGATTTGCCACAAGTGTGTGGTGCCAGCTTAAGACTTAAGGGGAAAATCACAGCACTGAAAAAGATGTAAATGTTCCATTGGTAAGAAAGGGGAGAAACGGTGCTGAAACACGTGCCTGTTCCCATCATGCTTAATTTACTATTCAAGACAA